TTGGAACTGTGTGTCAACTTAGCTGAACCACAATTCTGTGTGGTTTAAGCAATTGTGATGTGGGTTGTTCCAATGATGGGATCAGATGTTTTGAGTAGCCAATCCATTGAAAGGGAGTTTCCCTAGGGGTGTGGTCTGCTTTCAGTATACTTATGGACATCCTGGGAAAAGAGACACTTTGCTGTGGATTGGGATTCTGTTGTGCTGCCTACAACTGTCCGTGAGTGGACAATCAATCATTCACCCTGGAGTTCTTGGATTCATCATTGGAGTCAAAAGCCAGTATACTACCTCCCAACCTTGAGCTCATCAGCCCCTGCAGGAGCACAAGTTGGGAAAAGCCTCCAGCTTGACATTTGACCCAAGAACTTGGGACTTGCCAGTTACTATATATGTGTGAGCCATTTTCCTAAGATAAGTTTCTCATTCTCTCTCTCTCTCTATGTAAGCTTTATTGGCTTTCTTTCTTTAGAGAAGCCAGTCTAACACACTGCCCCAGCTTTCTTCCATGGAACACCTGGTGGGTTTGAACCAGTGACTTTTTGGTTAATGCCTTAACCACTACACCACCAGAGCTCCTTTAAGATAGAGTGAACTGTCCCATAAAGCTTCCAAGGTTGAAATCTTTATGGAAGCAGACTGCCTCATCTTTTTCCTACTGAGCAGCTAGTGGGTTTGAACCACTGAACTTTTGGTTAGCAGCTAAGGCTTTAACCACCGCACCACTAGGACTCCTTCATTAGCCATCAGAAATGTAAATCAAAACCACTATGAGATATTACCTCACCCCTATTACAATGGCAATGACTTCAAAAAAAGGAAAAAGAAAAACAGACATCACTGAAGTTGTGAGGAAACTGGAACCTTCATCCACTGCTGGTGGGAATGTAAAATGCTACAGCCGCCGTGGAAAACAGTTTTGTGGTTCCTCAAAAAATTAAACACAAAATTACCAGATGGCCCAGTAATCCAATCCTAGGTATATATTCAGAAGTGAAGGCAGGAATGTAAACAGAACATGTACTCAATGTTCACTGCAGCACTCTTCACAATAGCCAAAAAGTGGAACAGAAATAAATGTCTCTCACCAGATGAAGGAACAAGCAAAATATGGTATATACGCAATGGAATATTATGCAGTTGTAAAGAGAAATGAAGTTCTGATGCATGGCACAACATGGATGAATACTGAAAACATGCTAAGTGTAGTCAGTCACAAAAGAGCAAAAACTATAGGATGATCTCAGTTACATGAAATAAGCAAATATATAAAGACCTAAGATTAATGGTTACCAGATGTGGGAGGGAGTGGGGAGAAATAGTTTTTTGTTTGGGGGCATTGAGTTTATGTTAAGGGTGGTAAAACCTTTTGGATTAGGATAATGGTAGCAGAACACAAAAAATGTAATCAATGTCACTGAGCTGTAAATGTGGAAGCTGTGTTAGAGGAAGTTTTGGTGTTTACACTCCACTGAAGAGGACAAAAAAAGAAAAAAATTAAAATCAATTTTAAAGGGATAATGTGATTAAAATATTTAAGACAAATCATATGCTAGTGAACTTGATGGTAACTAAGATTTCTTTCACATGGGCTAGAAAGCTTGCTTTATCTTGAAGTTGATAAATACGGTTGACCAATTCAAGCTTGCCTCTGCCTAATATTTTTCCCTTGTAGGACGATGACAGATAAAAGATCCCCATCCAAACTGTATATTTTGATATAAACATTATAAAAACCATGTCTTTTGCAGCATGTTCCCTTCAGAAAGCCTTGGGTATTTTATCTTAAGGAGCTGGTTTAAATTAGGACAGTTTATGTTGTGTTAGAAGACCCATTTTAAGTGGCTTAAACAGAATAAGCAATTTATTGGCTCACATGTTGAAGGCAGAGCTAGCTAACTTATTCCAGCAGATCATCCAGTTACACATTTTTTCTTAGCTTTGTTGGGGTTCATACTCAAACTCCCTATGGTTACTTATGAATAAGTCATAAATAGAGCAAAATTTGAGTATGCTCAGTCTAAAGAAATAGAACCATTCACCCTTTTTAGTGGTTTGTCATCTGCCACATCTGCTGATTTTTATGGAGTAACATCCTGAATTTGGCACACTGAACTCACCTGGGACAAGGCAGTCATGATACTAGGCTGAGATTTAGTAGCAAACAGTCCAAAGGAGTCACTGGAGAGACAAGAACTTGGCAAGGAGCAAGGATTATTACCAAGAGTCTAGTCTCAGTAGGGAAAATGAGAAGGAGATGTAACTTCTTGGGGCTGAGCAGAAGGTGTAGGCAACTGGATCACACAGTAGAAGAATGAATCCCACTTGCCCATGGAGCAAGAATGTAATTAAAAAAATTAATAATTCCAAGATTGCAATATTTGGTATGCATGACAATCCTTCTATGGCTCTAAACCAGCATCCTTCCACTCACAAAGCAGTGTTTACCCTCCTTCATTGAAAAAGGAAATTGACAACGTTCTAGCACTTTACCTTACTTTCTTCAAGAATGGTCTTCTTAACTCAAATGATACAGCTCAACTAAGGCTAAATCTGATTGGGGAAAGGGAATGAAGGCAGAGGATGGTGGAATTTGTTGTGACAAAACAGTCATGCTTACCAGGGGAGGGGCATTTCTAGCATTACAGACTCTTTTATCTGATAAAAATTACATTTTTTATTATAAAATGCACGTGTACACCACACAAAAGAGAAAAGCAACCATAGTCTTGGAGTCAGATCCGACTCATAGCAACCCTTGGGTTTCCAAGGCTGTATCACTACAGAAGTAGATTTCCCAGTCTTCCTTCCAAAGAGTGGCTGGTGGGTTTGAACTGCCAGCCTTCTGGTTAGTAGTCAAATGCCTTACACACTATACCACCAGAGCTCCCATGTGTACACACACATACAATTTTACATGTATAATTTGAAGTTCATGAAATCCCTGGAGCCCATTTGCAGATCTCAAGCCAGTTAGGAGCATTTAGTGTGTACCCTTTCAGACACTGATCTTATGATGGACAGTTGTTTCTTTTTGTATGTTGTTGTTGTTGTTATGTGCTGTCGAGTCAGACCCGACTCATAGCGACCCCTCCATGGGTTTCCGAGGGAGTATCACTACGGAAGTAGATTGCCCCATCTTCCTTCCGAGGAGTGGCTGGTGGGTTTGAACCGCCAGCCTTCTGGTTAGCTGTCAAGTGCCTTAGGCACTGCACTACCAGAGCTCCCTATACATTCCCAAACAAGTTTAGAAGTAAAAACTAGGGGAGAGAAAGATGGGCCAGCTGTTTCTGGAAAGTAGATCAGAAAAATCCTAAATCATGTTAGTATTTTGTCTCTTTAGCATTTCTAACTTTGACAAGTGTGTTATCAACCTATCTTTAGGAAAAGAAAAAAAAGAAGTCTATTTTGGGAAAACTATTTAAAAAAAAAATTTGCTTTTCCCCTCTTATCATAAAGAAAGTGTTAACAAGTATTGCTCCCATCAATAGTTTTGAACTGGCCTGGGATTTAGACCACTGGAATGTACTTTGAATGCTCATTCTTTTTAAAGATTTATTTTATCACTATCTGCCTTTTTGACTGTTAGGTATTTAATATACTTCTGTAATTTTATTTTACACTGCAACTGCACTATCAGCCAACTAGATCAAGACTACTGAGCTTCGAAATGAGGACCAAGATTTCCCAATTCCCAGTCATTTTATTTAAGAAGGACAATAGTCAGTAACTTACATAAATTGTTGTTGCTGTCAAGTTGATTCCGACTCACAGCAACCCTGTATGTGCAGTGTAGAACTGCTCAACAGGGTTTTTTCAAGGTTGTGACCTTTTGGCATTAGATCATCAGGCCAGTCTTACAAAGCACCTCTGAGTCTGTCAACTTTTCTATTACTCAAGCAATTAACCATTTGCAGCCATGGACTCCATAATACTGTACAAAAGATAGGCAAAATGGAACTTTTGGTTGACATAAGCTTCATCTTATAATGTAAAATGTGTTTGAAACTCCAAATTTAACATGTAGAGAAGGAACAAGAGTGCCAAAGTATGTTTAAAGAGATGATTTTAAGAAATCCTAAATGGGGTCATGCTATACTATTATTCTGTAATTTGCTTTTCCTAAACTCATACCTTCAAAAGCACCAACCAGTTATCATAAAAATTCTACATTTATCTTGTATTGTTAATGCTAAACATCTTTTCCTCAGTTTTCTGAAGAGGTATTCATTGCTCATTGATTTATAAAAGGCCTTTGTATACTAAGGTTATTTATCCTTTGATATGTTACAACTACTTTTTCTCAATTGGGCAGCAATCTTATACAAACACAAACTCTGGCACTAAGCCATCCAAGTTCAAAACCTAGCTCTGACACTTTCCAGTTCTAAAACTTTGACAAGTTATCTGTAAATGGGAACAACAGTACCCACGTTTTAAGATTTTTGTGAGGAACAACTTATTTTTATTCATGTAGGCTTAATTCATATACCTAAGTGCTCAGAACAAGTTAAGCTTTATGTAACAATGACGATGATGATGTTGCTGATGCAAGACACTGTATTTCGGAAGTCTTGTAATCAAAAATTTATTTAAAATTACCTCTTTATTAGACAAAAGTATACACTGAAAGCTTCCAAATTCTTGTACATGCTGATCTTTCCATAAAGATCTCTTGGATGCAAAATAAGACCCTAGTGGCTCAAAATTAATTCTGTGTCAGTGTATCTTTTTAAAATTATACTTATCTTGAAAGTCTACAGTTGTTTTTTATAAAGCTATAAAAATACCACCAACTTGAAAATTTCTATTTTGCTAAAACGTACAAACAAAAATAATACAACACTTCACACATTCTATGGTTTATAAACATTCTACCACCGATGGATGGTTTCTATAAGACGTTGTTGGTCTTTCATGGTTCAGAAATAGTATAGCTGTCTGATATTCTGGAAAGCCCAACTCTCCCTTCTTTTTACCCACCAAATTCATTTTTCTTTTCAGAAGTCTTGGCGAATGTTTTCTTTGTTGGCTTCTCCATGTTGCTGCTTAATTTGATAGATTTCATTTTCTAGTTGTACAATAGTCCGTTCAATCTCATAATTCTTACTAACTAGGGATACCCAACTAAAACAGAAAAAAGGGGAGAAATTATCCAGTATAAAATTTCTTTTGGAATATTTTATGTATATATTTTGACCCAGTGTCATAACACAAACCTTCATTTCTAACTTTCTATTTTAAAAACCTAAGACACAAGTGAGGGAACTGGGTAAAGGACAAACCATGTCTATTTTTTGTAAATGCATGTGAAATCATAATTTGTCTCAAAATTAAAAGTTTAATTACAAAGAAAAAGAAAAGGCAAATTTCAAGTGCCCATCTAAGGCACAACAATTGGTCTCTGTTTGCCTGGAGCCACAGAGAAAGAGACTCAGGAGGAACAGGAGGAAGATATGGAATATGTGGCTGATTGCTTCCACAAACAACTGCCTCCTGTGCCAAGAGACTAGAAGAACTGAATGGTGTGTGGCTACCATCACTAAACATTTTGATCAAAGATTCTATAGAAGAATCTTGATCAAAAGGGGGGAGGAATGTAGAACAGAATTTCAAATTCTAATGGAATCCAGACTGTCTAGAGTCAAAGGAGCTAGGTGAACCTCCAAAACTATTATCCTGAGATAATCTATTAATACTGAAACCAAAAATATCCACTGAAATCTTAACCCAAATAATAGTTTAGCTTAACTAGTAAAGAATGTCTGCCTTGAGCAATATGCTCTTTTAACAACTATCTATAAGGGATCAAAGTGCTAACAGTAACTCAAAAGATGAGACAGGAACCTTAAAGCCAGTAAGTTTATATTAATGGTGGAAAAAAAACTCAGAAAAGGAGGGTGCGAATGGCTGTGCAACTCAAAGAACAGAATCGATGCCAGTGAATTGGACATGTAGAAACTGTTGAATTGGTGTATGTTTTGCTGAATATATATACTCTCAGCAAAAAATTTAATAAATTTAAATTTTTAACAAAATAAAAAAAAAAAAGACACAATTGAGGAAACTTAAAATAGATGAGACAGAAAATAGAATGAATGAAGATAGGGTTTGTTTGGATTAACAGAAAAGGAGAGAAAATAGGATAATACTTAAAGAGATAATGGTGGAAAATTTTCTGAAACTGATTTTAAAAATTAAATGAAACAATCCAGTTTCAGGGAGTATCCACCCTCCTTCTCAAAAAATCTCTAGGAGAAATAATAATAAAAAAAAATACATGCTTACACATGCATGCGCACATACACACACATCTATCTATCTATAATATTAGCTTGAAAAAAACAGGAAAGGATACTCAGTAGACTTGTAACAGGGTACGTGGGCATGGAGTTGGAAGTAGAGGGGAAGGTAGAGCAAGAAGAATGATATGGGTGATGAATGGAGGAAGGGTAAAGATATAGCAAAGCAAAAAGAAAAGAAACAACAAATTCATGATGATATGTAAGGATTTAGGGAGCCCTGGAAGAAACAGGTGCTCAGCTACTAACCAAAAAGTTGGTGGTTTAAACCCACTCAGTAGCTCCACTGGATAAAGACCTAGTGAGCTTTTCCCATAAAGATTATAGCCTAGAAAATGCTATGGGGCAGTTCTGCTATTTCATGGCATTGCTATGAGTTGAAATCAACTCAACAGCACCTAACAACAAAAGGCAGAGATATGTATAAACTAATATACATGTTTAAACGCATAAGCCAATCTACTGCAGGGTAGAACTGCCCTATTGGGTTTCCAAGGCTATATAAATCTTTATGGAAGCAGACTGCCACAGCTTTCTTCCATGGAGCAACTAGTGGATTTGAACTGTTAACCTTTTTGTGAGCAGCTGAGCTGTTTAACCACTGTTCCACCAGAGCTCAGGGCATTTTAAAAATAGAATGTATAAACAAAGGGAAAAAAAGAGACACAAATTATCAAAAAAGGTACAGAATCTCCCTCTTTCAAGATTTAAGAAAATGACAGATAATTCTTTTCCTCTTTTTAAAAGAATACAGTTAAAATCCTATACAGGCCCAGAAACATCAGACTGAAAACAAGGCTCTCTAAGACCAGGATCATTTAGCAGTAATTCAAGATTTACAAATCTCTCATTGCCTTCCAAACCAACTCTTCAGAAAGGGGCAGAGGCAATGAAAGGTGGATCCAGAAAGCACTGCATTCCTCTGCTACTGTGGCACTGCATTCAAACACTGTTTCAAATTACTAAATTTTGACCTTAAAAATGTGCGAAGCAATTAAAAAGATAATGCAATTGTAGGTACTTACGTTGACTCCATTTCTCTCAATTTAGATCCAGCTGTTAATTGCATGTTCTTTCGCTGCCAGTTTAAATCTTGAATATGCTTCCTGCAGAAAATTATACAACTCAATTACACTTTAACATAGACTAAAAGTAACAGAAAAATCAATAATCACCATAAGACAGTATCTTTACTCCTTTGAGAAGAACAGCTATAAATATATAGTTATAAACTACTTCTGGAAATTGACTTTCTTCTAATTATTTTTCAATTACAAATTTCATAAAACATGCTCACTAGGAAAAATACACACATACACATAGAGATTAAAATCAAGAGCCCCATTTCCCTCCTGATAATCTATCCAAAGTACATGAGATAAATAAAGTCTTACATCCTCACATCTAAGGAGTATTCTAAGAATGTACTTCTTCAAAGGCAGATTTGGTCACTCTTCTGGCAACCCACTGTATATTCAATATTCTTCATCAATACCGTAATTCTAAGGCATCAATTCATTTTTGGTCTTCCTTATTCAGGGTCCAGCTTTCACGTCTGAGGTGACTGCAAACACCATGGCTTGGGTCTCATATATCTTAGTCTTCGCTTTTTCACATTTTAAGAGATCTTTTGCCCAATGCAATACATCACTGTTTTTTTTTTTTTTTAAATCATTTGTTTTCTTAACTGCTGCTTCTGGTGGTGTTGATTGTGGATCCAAATAAAATGAAATCCTTGACATCTTCAATCTTTTCTCCATCAATTGTAATGTTGTTCATTGGTACAGTTGTGAGGATTTTTGTTTTCTTCATGTGAGATGTAATACTTACTGAAGGCTGTAATCTTTGATATCCATCAGAAAGTGCTTCAAGTCCTCTTCATTTTCAGCAAGCAAGATTGTGTCATCTCCATATGGCAGGCTGTTAATGAGTTTTCAAATTCTGATGCCAAGTTCTCCTCAATATAGTCCAGCTTCTCAGATTTTGTTCAGCATACAGAATGAGTAAGTATCACCATGCTTATGATACAACTCCGATGCATATCTTTACTGATTTTAAAGTATGCAGTATCCCCTTGTTCTGTACAAACAACTGTTTCTTGGTCTATGTACAGGTTCGGCATGAGCACAATGAAGCACTCTGAAATTCTCATTCTTCCCAATGTTACCCATAATTTGTTATGATCTATACAGTCAACTGTCTTTGCACAGTCAAGAAAACACAGATAAACATGGGCACAAATGTGGATCTCTGCCAGTTGGTTGGCCAGACAGCTAGCTGTCTTCCAAATTTCTTTGCATACACAAATGAGTACCTCCAGCACTACATTCATTTGTTGAAACATCTCAATCGGTATTCTGTCAATTCCTGGAGCCTTGTTTTCACCCGTACCTTCCACACAGCTTGAACTTCTTCCTTCAGTACTGCCAGTTCTTGATCATATGCTGTCTCTTGAAATGGCTGAATGTCAACCAACTCTTTTTGGTACAGTTGCTCTGTGCATTCCCTCTATCTTCTTTTGATGCTTCCTGTAATTTTCCCCATAGAATCCTTTAATACTGAAACTTGAAGCTTTAATGCTTTCTTCTGTTTTTTGGTGTTTTGTTTTTCCCCAGCTTGACAAAGGCTGACCATGTTCTTCCCTTTTGGTTTTCTAACTCCAGATTTTGCATATTTCATTATACACTGTCTTCTTGAGCTGCCCTTTGAAATCTTCGGTTTAGCTCTTTTACCTTGTCATTTCTTCCATGTTTCAGCTACTCTACATTCAGGAGCAAGTTTCTGTCTCTTTTGGCATCCATTTGGGTCTTTTCTTTCTTTCCCATCTTTTTAATGACCTTTTGCTTTCCTCATGTATGATGTCTCTGATGTCATCCCACAATTTGTCTGATCTTCACTCACTGTTGTTTAAGGCTTCAAATCTATTCTTCAGATGGTCTCTAAATTCAGGTGGAAGATACTCAAGGTCAAATTTTGGCTCTTGTGGACTGGTTTTAATTTTCTTCAGCTTCAACTTGAACTTGCATGCAAGCAACTGACAGTCTGTTCCACAGTCTGCTCCTGGCTTTGTTCTGACTGATGATATTGAGCTTCTTCATTGTCTCCACAGATGCAGCCAATTTGATTCCTGTCTATTGCATCTGGTGAGGACGCCATGTATACCTGCCATGTATGTTGTTGAAAACAGGTATTTGCAATGAATAAATCCTTAGTCTTGCAAATTCTATCATGGGATCTCCAGTGTCACTTCTATCACCACAGTCGTATTTTCCAACTACCAATCTTTCTTCATTTCCAACTTGTAAATTTCAATTATTAGTAATTATCAATGCATATTGATTGTATGTTTCATCAATTTCAGACTGCAGACATTGGTAATAATCTCCATGTACACAAAGAGATTAATTTATTACATATAAACATGATATTCTGCAACATTTCTCCCTTCAAAATTTTTTTCCCTATCTTTAGACTCATAATGTGCAAATGACCCAGCAGAAATGTTTTTAGACCTCAGGCCTATTTCTACTCCACACAGCACAAACTGTTAGAAGCTGGACAAAGTGTAGATCAATGTGTTAAACTCATGTGACTGTAATCGCACAAACTTCTTTTTCTTCCACTGTTTTATATTTATTCTGTGTTCATCTAAACTTTATTCTAAAATAGGAATAAACAATTTACCTTAACTTCTGGAGTTCTTTCTGAGCATGCTCAATCATATGAACCAGATTTCTGAAGAATGAAAAGAGATTAAAGTACATGAAAATGTATTCTTACCAACTAAAAGTGAACTATCTGTATGATACAAAGTGTTTCTGCTAAAATCAGTTAATATTTAATCAAGTTCTCTATGTCAGGTACCTTGTTAGATACTTTATAAATATTGTTGTTAGCTGCTATGAGTTGGCCCCCCATTCATGGCAACTCCATGGGGTTGGACCATGTGATCCACAGGATTTTCACTGGCTGATTTTTGGAAGAAGATCATCAAGTCTTTCTTCTCAATTTGTCTTAGTCTGGAAGCTCTGCTGAAACCAGTTCAGCATCATACAAACACACAAGTCTTCAAAGACTGACTAGTGCTAACTGTGTCTGAGGGGAACTGACCAGGAATGAACCTGGATCTCCTGCCTAGAAGGCAAGAATTCTTCTACTGACCACAAATGCCCTTCATAAATATCTGTGATTTTGTTGTTGTGTGCTGTCACAATGATTCCAATTCATATGAGCATGAGTTATAAATATTAGGTAATTTTCACAGGAATTCTTTGAGGTAGGTATAATTTATTGCCCCAATTTTATATGTGAAGAATGAGGTACGTAGAGGCGGGGCAAGATGGCGGACTAGGCAGAAGGATTGCACAGACCCTCTTCAACAAAGAAAAGGGAAACCAATTAACACAGACACAGAAGATAAT